CTGTTTTATCTCTAATAGTTTAGTTGATTTTTATATTCATCTTTTAATGTAGCTTAGTTAAAGGTTGATATTGAAAAATTATGGGAAGAGAATGATTACTGATAGAATGCAAAGTTATTTTTTTTCATACACATGCTTAGCTTATACGTATTTTATTCCCTGAAGAGTAGGCTGTTACTACAAAGTGCTGATAGTCATTCTCAGTGTTTAATATGGTAAGGAATTTATAGTTATTTTAACCAATGTGAAGCAAGACCTTACTTAATAGTGAGGTTGAATTTTGAACAAAAAGACAACCTGAAAAAGATGAAGGCATATTCACTTTTTGAAAGTACACAAGACCTAACAAACCTACTGTGTTACAAACAAATCCTTAAATTATAGACGTCCGTGGAAAAAGATAGAAAACTAACAGTCCATGAGTAGGTTGGTATGTGACCACAGCAAAAGTGTGAACAAAGAGGATTTTGATACCTGTTTGGGCTGGACAGATCCTATGATTCATTGTGAGTTTGCTGCTCTCGTCTGAATATTTTAAAGGTTAAATTGGGAAAATCAGATGCATTCCTTTCATTCTGTAACCTATCTCATGTTATTGTGAATCATTTTTATTTGCTTGATTGTTATCCAGGAGACTGTTTACTCTTGAGGGAGCGCTGGTGGCACAGTGGTTAAGAGCTGGGCTGCTAACCAAAAGGTGGGCAGTTCAAATCCACCAATCACTCCTTGGAAACGCCATGGGGGCAGTTCTACTCTGTCCTATGGGGTCACTATCAGTCGGAATCGACTTGACGGCAATGGGTATTTACTCCTGAAAGCTGCAATTCATTTTACTGACTTGGCTGGGTCAGCCAGTTACTGAATCCCAGCCTCCTCTGTGTCAGCCTCCTTCTACATGAACCCCTCAGTGTGGCCACTAAAAAGTAAGGTCAAAAGATATCATGTGCAATAAATAAGGACTTTTTTCTGCACCTGGCATTCTGCCTGACTATTGGGCAAGCACTTCTTAGTGCTCCAGGGCCCACGATATTTAGTGCTCCCCCCATTTCGGTGATGGTACTCAACCTCTCCTGTGAACCGTCCCCAACATTGTGTAAGGGTGCAGGCTTGGCCCTGACTCACAGGGAAGAGGTGATTTGTATCCTGTGAATCACTGGTACCACTTCCTGCTGGCACACTTGAGATTTCACTGAAGCACAACCTCTGAAAGATGAAGGTACAGAGATGAATAGGCAAGCTGCAGATTCCTAAAACCCATCTGGAAATTTGTCAGAAATCACAGGCTCTAAAGGAATTTTTGATTTTTATAGCAGCACTGGAATAGAAGTTCCAAATACCAGTTTTCAGTTTACAGGTCAATCTACCTCATATTGCCTTGCACAGAATCCTTCTGTATCTTAGTGACCGTTGTAGAACTTGCTATCAAGTCTGTTTTTTGACACCCTGATGCTATCCAAAATCTTTAACATCATAGCGAATTATCATAGCAGGGATCCTTGGTCGAGGATCAAAAACTCAAATACAGTGTTTGCAGTTCGATCATAAAGAGACTGTTCAAATGTTCAAATAACACTAAAAACGAGAAAAAATGGAAAGATTAAGGAAATGTGTGAATATGACTTCTGCATCTATTCCATCTCTGTCTGATTTTATAATAATGAATTCTGATTCTTAAGGGTAATAGAGTGGTGGGTATCAGAGTCTTCTGATGATGGACTTTTTCAATCTTCACATCACCCCCACTTACTCCTCCACCCCAGTTTGCAAGGGCCTGGGACAGAGGTGAGGTGGAGGGAAGCTTGAGAACCAAGGTTTTAAAGCAGTAGAGCTGTGCATATGGACGCACAACTTAGAACGTGCATCCAGTTTAAATGCTTTTCTTTAAGAGGAACATTTAAAAGCATTTGCAAATTTCATCTGTAAAACATTCAGCTGCTGGATTAATGCAGCAAGTCTCATAGAAACCATCCCGAACAATGGACTGTGTCCAAGGGAGCGTCACAGGTAAAGAAAGCCCAGTTTTTGTGGAGGCACACCCTAGAGTGAACATTCTTTAATTAACAAAGACAAATATCTCACCTCTGGCCTGAACAACTGAAACAAAGTTTCCTACCATGGAAAAACCAATAACCACTAAAAACTTGAAACAACAACAAGACAAAGAAGCAACATCCCCAAACAATT